TTCCGTCAAATTTGAAAGAAAATTTTTATATATTTATCACTTATATATTTTTTAAGGTTAACTTGGTATTGTTGAAATCATTTTCTTCTTGTTCATAAGATTCTATAAGATTCTTATGGTTGAATATCAATTTCATCATAGTTACCGATCAAATTATCTTCTCTTTCTAAAAAATATTATGTAATAGTATAACGCACACATACATTATGTTTTTTATTTGTATGGGAGACCATTCTTGTGTCGGTTTTTCACCATGTGCCAACATTGCATAATGACACCAAATACTCATTTCATATCATTCCTTGTTGATTTTTGCATCATATTGATTTTTTTGTGTTTTTCATCTTGTATGCATATAGATGATTTAATAAATGTATCATATTCAAGATATATCACATCAGCAATATAATATATATGCTTGTATTGTACTCTGTTAACTTCAAACATACATTCAAGTGTTATTCCATTTAATAGGTCACTAAATAACGACTATTTGATCGATAACAATGATGTATTTATTGGAACCGAAAATACCAAATAATGCACGCCAACTCAATAGATCACGTTAAGTCCCTTCTTCTAGCATCACCGTTGGATGATCATGATTACCATGTATGTATTAACCTATCATGAGTTAGGGTAATTTGTCTACAGCTAATGCATACAATCAATGCTTCCTATCATTTGCAAGGAATTCATGTTTGGATTCAATTGTTGACTGTCATCCACAAGATTTACACAAATATTGTTTATCGTAAAGGTTGATGAAACCTTTAAAAAACTTATAAATACTTTCCTCGTCAAGCTTTCTCAAACATCTTTAAATACTCATCCCATGAGTTGGGAGTTATGTCGTATGATGTTTGATGAAGTGTAGATATAAACTTTTGTATAATAGTAAAACCCCTTCTGGCTCTCGTATCCCATGCAATCCAAAAATATGGAAACTCTTTATCCAAATTAGGGGTGTTGATCGGGTAATTTTTTCAGGTTTCGGGTAATTCGGGTTGGGTAATTCGGGTATCGGGTCGGGTTTGGGTAATTCGGGTATTACCCGAAATATATAATTTTTTTTTGAATTTCACCTGAAAATAAATTTAATGAAATAAATATTTCTTGCTTTATTAGTCTTGTTTATATAAACAAACGAGGCATAAATGAAGTTACTCAAACTTTGAACATTGAGATTTTTTAGTCAATAATACCTGAGATATGAAGTAATTTTTTAACAACTTAATCTAATCTAATAAGATGTTAAAAACAAATACTTAAAGATCTTAATTTAAAAGTTTAAAATGTTTAAGATAATTGTAGCCACAAGTTTTGCCATGTTCTGAAGTTTCGTCAAAATAATGAGTTTGTTAGTTGCAATAAAAACTATAATCTAGAAAACAGTTAAGTTTTAAAGAACATGATGATATATAAAAAATTACTTTTAATATTGTTAGTGTCATATTGTCATAATAAAAGAGATTCATGTTTTACAATAATGATAGTTAGTTTAAGCGTAATCAAAGACCTGCTACAGAGTACAAGCTCTATGAAAAAAAAAGAATTTTTAAAATAATTCGGGTAATTCGGTGTAATGCCCGTGTTTCTAGCCTAGGCATTAATCTTGATATGATAGTCTAGGTTAACCTTTGTAACTCATTTTG